CAAAACATGATTTTCCCTCATTAAAGAGGAAAAATGAAAAGTGATCCGATAATTCAGGTAATGATTTCGTTGAATTAACATTTCGTGCGGAGTATGTTCGCAATTTGAAAACGAATTTCCAACTCGAACCATAAAGATACAGTCACAACGTAAGAACTGGGTATTGCGTAAACTCTTGTACGTGCTCATGATGTATAATTACAAGTGAACTTACTCGTTACAGAATTAAGACAGTAAATGCCAGTGGTATCTATGAATGCACCACAGTAGTTGGAATTAATCATATTGGAGTCACAAGAACAGATATTTCTCTCGAAGGATTGGATTTCCTTAAGATTGAGACCAGGGATTGACGAGAATTGGAAAAAAATATGTCGTCGGTGACTCTGAAACTGCGTAAACAATAGCGCAATTGGCGGACGTTATGCAATTGCACTCTTGGATGGTACTTCCATCAGGACAGATGATTATCGTGGTATAAAAGTAGCAAGACCAAATACTTCCTGCTCAGTCTATCAGTAGTATTTCCAGACAATCTTTTAACTACTTTTTGAAATGTGGGGCAATATTCTCACTGTTATTTATGTTTTTCTCGCTGCATCCAGTGCTGTACCGGCTAATTACGATTCAGGTACATTTTTTGCATTCGATATCTGTGAAAAATTTCAAAAATTTATTTGTCGGAATTGCGAGTTTCGGGGATAGATCTAAAATGTTTATTAATTTAAAATTTTATCGTGAAGTAAAAAATCTTTCTGGTTATTGATATTAATATATTAATAGTTTAATGGAGTGCAACAAATAAATTGAGCGGAAATTGAAAAAATATTCGAGTAAATGTCGAGAGTTGAGTTTTAATTGAATATTCAAAAGGAAAAATAAATTTTGTAGCCAAATGTGCAATGTTGTCGGGGCAAAATGAACTTTTAATTCTGAAGCCGATTAGTTGAAATGAATGCGATACGTGCTCCAATTTATTCTGCATTATCGTCATTATTTCTCTTTCATTAAAGTTTGGAATTTTGGAATCATTATGCATGTGCATCCGGGGAATTAAAGCTCGTTACGAGTCAAAAGACTCTGCAACCGCAGCAGTTAATTATGGAAATGCATATTATAAAAAAAAAATGAATTATCTCTTATTCCTTGAGTTGCCCGACTAATTTGGTGGAGTTATTCCTCTGCCCTCTGAATTATTCAATTGTTTAATTATTGTTTGTTTAGATGAGAGTGGAGAGGATTCACTCGTCTATGTCGTCAATATTTATGCAGTTAGAAACACAAACACGAAAAATGTCGCCAAGATGTTGACCGACGAAACATTGATGGAAATTCCTGCGAAATTCGGTGAGTGATAGCGGAAGTATAAAATTCGGGAGGAATATCTCGGAATCTAAGGAAAATATTGAAATTTTTATATGAACCCCGATTGCAGCTTTCGTTTCGCTCTATAAAAGATATTCTACTGAAGATTTTGCTATCTCCGATATTGAGAGATAAAAAGTGAAAATAACGAAAAAAAAAAATATTAATTTTCCGATAATTGATAATTACCGATTTTTTAGAATCGATTGGAAGTGTTCTCCTACCCGATGGTCAGGAGGAGCCAGTGACGATGAAAGAAGTTCAGATATTCTTTGAAACAATGGGTCTATCGGTGAAGCAGTTGAACGAAGGGGATGACCCAAAAGTGATCGAGATCAAAGGCGACATGTCATACGACGAAATATTCCCTGACCTCGAGGAAATAGCAATAAGTTTTCTGAACGACGGATTAATGTGCACAATAAAATTCGTCAACAACTCAATGATTTTCATGATTGAATACAATCCAGGAATGGAAGACAACCGACACATCACCCTTGAAGAGATTGTGGAGGCATTGGAAATGGAGGGAATTGATGTCGAGTACGAGACCGTCGACGGTTCAATCATTAAAGTAATCATAACGCAACCCTTCGATGATGATTCGAGCGAATCCGAGGAGTCGAGCGAATCCAAGGAGTCAACGACGAGAGCTGGTGTCGAGGGAAAGCCCGAGAGGAAGGAGAATAAAATAGAGAGGACCGAGGAGAAACCGATGCCACGGAAGAACGAGCTGGATGACCAATTCAAAACTTTAGGTTTTACCACTAGGTCTGAGGCCCTCAATAAAATTAGGAGGCGAAGGTCTGAGTGTCAGGGGTGCAGGGCTATTGATACCCTGAAGACTTATCTTCAGGAGCACTCGCATCACTAGAATTTCAGCATTAAATAAAAAATCGGCTTGATATCACATTGTCGCAAAAAAGATGTCACACTGTCCGATACATTACCCGGAATCATTATCCCAAGAAATTTATTCTCAAGAGATTTAATGTTTACGACAAGGAATTTATTTTGTGGTATTGTAGCGATAATTCTTTCAGTGCATCTCGCAGATTTTTGTTTTGCAGTATTTATGACGAGTTTTTAGTACACAATTGTACGGATCTGTGTTATTTTTATATGGAAGTGTCAATAAATGAAATAGAGTGGATACGTTATTTGATATTAATTGTTGTTTGTGGTTTAATTTTTTTATTTTCATTTGCAATTTGAATTCAGTGCAGCTGCATTTACTGTTATTCAGTAATTAATGGTAAATCCTCTCTGGGTGTAATTGAAAAATCATGAACAGAAGATAATCCGATTAAGAATTGTGGCATCAAATGGGGGAGAAGGGAAGAGAAATTTAAAATAACCCCGGGACTCTGATGCATTATATAATTTCCAGCATAAAATTTGTGGATTACTATGATTTTTAGTTAATATTCGACGAATTTATAATTATCTCCTGGATAATGCAGTGGTGATTTAATATTCTGTGGCATTTGTTCAATAATTCAAGAATTCTTAGGTGCAACTCCAGGGGTCCGGGTAGTCGAAAGTAATGAGCCGGGAGCGCGATCTTATCAAATCCGAAATTATTTCAATAATTAATGAAGTCACAGGGAAATTACATAAGAATATTCTGCAATATTCCTCTTCCATCTACAATGTTCTTGCGACGTTCAGTTAATCAAAAACGAGTTTCAGAGACCGATAATTAAAATAGAGCATGTCACTTTACCACTTCAATCCACGAATAGATTTATGAGGCGATAATTCTTCCAGCCCACAAAGTAAAATTGTTATTCCTCAATACATCTGATATTTTATTCACGAGTTTAAACCGAAGGCCACTAAATCTTTTGTGCATTCTAACAATGCCTCGTGATTTTTTTCTGCATTATTAAATCCCAGAAGGATAATAAAGAATTCTTCAAAGGAATCGATGAACGTCAAATGATAACAGATAAATTTCAAAATGGGATACCTTATAGGAGGAAAAAAGCGAATCCTGCGAGTTTTTTTTTATGAAAAGGGGAATTTTTTATTGAGAAAATAGAACGGTTACAAAATGGTTTAAACGCAAAATAAAAATTGAATTAATCCTCGTCGTCGCTGATGATGATCCGTCCCTGTTTGGCTTCCCGCAGCTCCGGTGTGATTACGTCGTCATTCTCCTCGTCACTGTCAATGACACGACGTTTCTTGAGTGTTGGAGTATCCTCTGGATCTGAGTTGGAGCGAATTCTCTTCGCATCATCTTAAAAACACATAATCTTTAAAATCGACGATTGAACGGATAAATTCACCATGAAAGTAGTTATTACCAGTGACATTCCCCCCAGCAATTTCCACCCTCGCATCTGAATCAGAGGAATCGTCCATCGACTTTACCCGACTTCTATTCGACTTCGATTTGACTTTATTGTCGGTGGAAATGCTGGGATTAGAGGCTGTAATTGATTCCCTTCCTGAGCTTTTATTATTCATTTTGACTGGCAAGACGTCCTCATCGCTGGAATCTGAATCGACTGCTTGGGAGCGGTGACCTGGATTATCTTTCATAAAAATTAATATTTTATTTCATCTCTTTTTCCATTTTATCAATTTATATAAGAATGAACCACATTTTAAATTTGGGTAGACCATAAAAATGATATTCACTCATTTTTCTGAATTTACTGAAATTTCAAATAAATATATAATCTATTATTTCGATACCAAAGGAAGAAATTGATAATTCCAAACACCTTTGTAAAGCGATCTCTGATATAGAACTGAATTAATAATAAACAATTGGATGAATAAATTGGATTATTGCAATTACTTTGTGAGATCGATTCCTTCTTGTTGAACATTTTCTTGATTTCCTGCAAATCCAGTGCTCCCCCCTCCTCTCCTTCACTGTCCGATTCAATTGTGGGTAGAATGCCTGAAATATTTGAACGGTAATTGAAATTTATTGAGTGATATTTATAAATTAATTGATGAATCGATCCTACTCTCGTTGACGAATATTCCAGCGAGGCCGTTTTTTATGAATTCACAACGCCTTCGTATTGTCGATGCCATCATGCTAGCTGGGATTCTCCAATAAGACTCTTGCTCATCAGCTGGCGGTTCTATTCCGACAGCACGTAGGAAACGCTGAAAACTTGGTGAATCCATAGCAGCTGATGAATAATCATTCAGGGGCACGAGTGCAATGCCATCACTACTTTCCTCATCTCGGTCCTCCAGGGTGTCTTCCAGGGATTCCATCAGCCACTCCAGGGACTCGTTCATGTCTGAGAATGGAGAAAATTTCGTGAGTGCATTCAGAACTTTATTATTATCGTGAATAGTTTGGGGGAAATTTTCATTGTTGGAAGATAATTGAGCACTTCCCATACGAATTCTAATCGGGCAACATCAATTCATCATTAATTGATGAAGAGAAAATTAATTCCGCGCTGAGAGAGTTTTTAATTAATAAAACATCACTTGAACTGAATTTCCAAAAAATTTGGAAAATTTAATTCCGGGTAAATCCTGAGATTCTTTCCAACTGATTTTGAATGAAAACAGACTTTCCTCTGAATCGCAAAATTATTCGGCCAGAGCTGAAATCCTCAGCATTCGATTCAATTATAGTTTTCTAATTCAAACTTCTCCAATACCCAACACACTTTCTTATCCACTTCAGAAGAAAACTTTACAAATAGAAATAAACTCCAAGAACTCTCCTCCCCAAAGGAATGTCTCACAATAATTGAATTCAGTAGCGAAATGGTAAATCGGGATATTTCAATTCTGCACTTTCCTTAAATATTGACTGATTAAAAAACTGTGAGTTTTTTTTATCTCAATTAATTACCATTAATAATAACAATAATAATAATAATAATAACGAATAATTTGGTTAATCATTAATAATTATAACAAGAAGCGACACCATCTCAGTTTTAATGACAATAATTCCTGAAATACCGATTAAATATTGATTTGATGATATAATGATTGACTTTGCGCTGGTTGAAATTGTCTTAATCAATAGAGACAGAAAATTGACTTACTCTTACTGATAACATCCTTGAGCAATCCAGTTAATTGTGCGTCTGTGTACACGACCGCAGGTTTTTTATTCTTCTTTCCCTTCAGCTTCGTCTTACTTTTCTTGGGGTTCAAATTGGCTGGACCCTTTGAGACCCCCTCGTTAATCCCAAGATCAGAATCATCGGTATCAGACTGCTCGCTAGACGATTGATGCTCCCACGATGCTTTTGGCTCTGCAAAAAAAAAAGGCTATAAACCGTTACGTACGAATTTTACAAGTTCCCTTTGAGAAATTGAAAAGCCCCGATAGTCGAAAATATGAATAAAATATCAATGCGAGACACAATGCGCTCTGCGAATGTGAAATTGCATTTTGAAAGGGGATGAAGACTTGGGGAGATGGAAAAACTATTGGAGACTAGCGGATTGAGAATGGAGAACCGGTGAAATCACCGATAATAGATTGAATATTGACTTGAATGTGGAAATTAATTGGATATTAAAGCCGACAAAGCGGAATTAATGAGATATCATGACTTGTGTTCCGATGATAGAATCCAATTCAGAATTAAATTCGGTGAATTTCCAAATCCCAGAGCTGACTGAGCTGACAATTTATCTGTAACTAATTACGATTCACGGATACGATAAATTAGGAGATTGTCATAGCGCATTGTTTAATGATTCAAGGGAAGGATTACACAGGGTGCATTGAAAATTAGACGGGAATTTTCTCTTCAAGTTTTATATAATTATTTTTTTTAATTGGGGATAAAAAAGAACATGATTTACATTATTTTACAATTGGTTAACTATTTTTAGGGGTAAGGGCACCTCGATGTGTTTATCTACTCGAAGAATAATGAAGATAATCAACACAATTACATGCCGAATAATTTCTGTAGTGAAATGTTTAGAAATTTAGATTCTGTATGCAATTTCGCACTCGATTGCTGCTTCGTAATTGCTAACATTCCGCAGAACATTCCGCACGAATTGAGGAATGAAGTGATGAAGTTCAGAGAATAATGTACAAATATGTAAATTATTTTGCGAGTGGCATCAGGAAGATTAATTGGCAGATTATTTCTGGGGGAAATTTTGCTGAGGGTAAGTACTAGTGTACAGAGCACGTTGAAAATAATATGAGGAAAATTTAACAGCAGAATTGCAGTTATGGACATTTTATCGACATCTTCATGATCTGACTCACAAATGTGCCATGAATTATGAAGTTTGGGTTCCATTGTTTCACTGAAAATTAACTTTAACTTTATCTCTGAATTCTCGTCCATGGATGCATTAAAAATGCTTCGTTTAAGAGAATTACAACGGTCGACGAAAATTTTCAACGAATACTTGATTGAATTCGTTAAGATGAGAATACCTAACTATCGAACGAATGGATTTCACTTCCATCTCTGATTTTAGCTGTAACCGAATAGTAGATTCATTTCCGCAAATTGCCTAAGTGACTTAAATATTCCATAGTCCTCAAATTTCACAGTACTTTATCTCTGCTCCACGATAAAATTGATAAATTACTGAGGGAAAAATCCAATTCGTGCAACTGCAGTTACTCGTTTGCATGTGAAAATATTGATTTTAATTTCACTGCATGATCTCGTGATTCGTTTCGAAAGGAATAATTTAATAATAAAGTTCGTTGAGAGATGAATGTAAGGTAAACATTCGGTAATATATATGAGTCCTCCAATTAATTTTTCTGTGAAACGGAAATAATTCACTGAGTAATAACACAACTATTCGGAATTGAGAATAAAATTGAATAAAATTGAGATGATCAATTTATTAAATGGAACAGGTGACACAATTAGAGCCCATCCGTGAAAGAAAATTTTCAGGCGATATAATTGCTGATTAAAATTCATTTATTGATTACAATTTTATTTTTATATGCAACAGAATTTTATGTTCTGAATTTTAAATTTTTGTCTCACGATTTCGGTACGTCTCAAAGACCTGAATAATTCGTTCGGCTTCACGCCAGCCCGAACTGATGGCACCATGGACAGTACTATAAAAATCACTTGTTGCTTCTCCAGCAAACATAACAGCAGGTTTATCATTACTCCGCATTATGGGTTCAGCAAGATCAAGAGCAGTTGCATTATTCCGCTGAGCATCGAGACTCATCCAGCTGTAAGTCCCGAGGAAGTTCTCATTGGAGTTCCAGTGGGTCCTCTTCATCTCCGTGGGCTCCGTCAGATTGTAGGACTTGCCAAAAAATTTATTCACCAACCAGAGAGACTGATTCCTCACCAACTCCTCAGGCAGCATCTCCATTTCCCTGATGTTTGGTCCAGTCAACCAGAGGCATATCACTTTGGGCTTCCACTCAATCCGATTCACCGAATAGACTGACAGCATCCACCTCCGTTCCGGCTGTGATCAATAATTATATTAACCTGGCTGAATTTTCAGACAATCACATGACAAAGCTCAACGAAGGACGACAACATTTTGTGATACCAAAAATATGAACGTCATGTCGCCACCAATTTGTCAGTGAAAAAATATTAAATGTCACATGACGATCAAATTTTTGTAATCTGACAGTTTTTCATTTCCTACGTCATCTTGTATCTCTAATTCAAGTTCATACATCACTCTTCAGGGTTTTCTCATCGTCCTCTGACCAAAGGATACATCTGTAGATGGTGTCGAGATCCTTCGTCCACCATGGGTCATCGTAGAACAGATAAATTTTCCCTACGTGCCCTATCCCAAGGCTCTGAAAGACAGATTAACGATCATCTTCTAATTTCTGCAACGACATGAATTCGTTTATTTTACTTCGATTGCCCGAATTTTGCGAGCTGACAAGTGCGGCTGGAATAAATTCTTATGATTCGCTTTCAGGACACCCAATGACGGTGTGAATATCACGTAATCCGCTGCATATTCGTCTCCATCGGAAGTCTTCACTTTGACTGGCCCATCAGCATCGTATTCAATCCTCGAAACTTTCTTGTTCAACAGAGTTTTGTTCATGATGGGCAGCTCCTCTTCGGGATTCGGATACCTTTTCTAAAACAATTCAAACGAATTACGAGTTCGAAATTGTTCTGTTCATGTTTCAACGAACCATCAGTACATCGAGAATAGTCCCATACACTTTCTCTTTCCAGTTGATCAAGAAATCCCCATCCACAATAAAATCCCTGGCCGCTTTCGCAGACACTTGATACAAATCCTCAGCACCTTCGAAAGCCATTCGCTCTCGATGGAATACATTTGTCAGAGGTTTCTTCAAGTGCTCGGGGATATTTTTATGCGTTGCGAAATATTCATTCAACCTGTGGAAGGAGTAGATTACACACGGAACTATCGAATTGTTTTATGAATAGAATGAATGATTTACTTCATGTCAAGGTATTCACCAACAGATCCACTCTTCAAATCGTCAATCCCTAGCCACTCCTCCGTAATATTAAAATAGTACTTGGTGATCTCTTGGGTCATTGCAGAATCTACTTTGTCCCCAGCTGTGCCGAACAACTTAAACGGTTCCCACGTGTCTCTTATCATTTGAGCAGCAACGTCTTCCGATCCAATTGTTTTTGCAATTGTTGTAAACGCCATGTTGTAGAATATTGATCGATCATTGGGACCACCTCGATGAGAGAGAAGATCAAGAGGCCATGCCATCTCATAGACAACATTCCCCTTCTCACCGTGAACCCACTGTCCTCCCATGTCAATCATGTATTCACCTGCAGTAATTATTCATCAGACATGCCATCCACAATTATCGCAATAAATTACCGATTCTTGTGCTGTAAACTCTTCCTCCAATCCTGTTCTCTGCTTCCAGAATCGTGACGTCGTGCACTCCATTTTGAAGTAATTTCGAAGCTGCAGCGATACCGGAAGAACCCGCACCGATGATAATCACACTAGGACTTTCGTCGCTCGATAGAACTTTAGTGACACACAGGAGAAAGAGGAGATTTCTCATTTTCCCAGACATGTTAATTGCAGTAGCTGAGGGCGATCTATTCTCTAATGATGTTGTGAACCACTTATCAATCTAATGTGTCGCTATTAATCTAGGCGATGGTAAAGTCTCATCTTCTCTAATCATTATGATATTCAATGTAAGCCAAAGGTTGAACAATATTTTTTTCCTCAGGTCAATGGCGTCAGCGACAGCTGAGTGCGATAATTTAGGAGATGATTTATGTCGCCAGTATTTTCTCTATTTTTGTGGGCATTATCGTGGAGATAACGAGCGTGTGACCAACTGAGGTCATTCATATTCCGGGGAATGTAAAAAAGTTTATATTTACTCCCATTGGAATTGTCTCAGTTTGTTCCAATCATCTTCTTCCGGTCTAGTGATTTTTTCCGCTGGAATCGCCAGGATCCTCTGGATTTTATTATGAAAATTTGGGTTTACGGGGATTATAAAAACGATAATTCAATTGTTAAAGAACTGTACAAAAAATTGTGATTTTAGGATTAAATGAGAGGTCATGGTCACGACATGTCGGTAATTAGGTCTCGGGAGTTCAATGGCGCAAAAATAGGACATCCTTTTTTTCCCCTGCACACACCAATCGTCAATCCAATTAAATCCAATGATTAACTAACTATTCAATTGGGATAATGATGATAAATGATAATACAAGTGAAGATAATAAAAGAATAGATTCATTTTATTGCATCATAGATTGAAAATAATTCTTGAAAGATTCAATGAAATCTCAATAATCTATTGTGCTACCCCTGGGTCCAGTGGCTCGATCGTTTTTTGATGTCAATGATACGTTCTGCTTCTCGCCAGCCCGAGCCAATGGCACCGTGGACAGTGCTATAAAAATCACTGGTTGCTTCCCCAGCAAACATGATAGCCGGTGTGCGACCATCTCTCTGCATTATGGGCTCGGCAAGATCAGAAACCGTCGCATTATGGGCCTCCGCATCAAGACTCATCCAGCTGTAGGTCCCAAGGAAATTATCATTGGAGTTCCAGTGGGTTCTCAGCATCTCCGTGGGCTCCGTGAGATTGTAAAATTTGCCGAAGAATTTGTCCAGCAACCAGAGGGACTGATCCCTCACCAGCTCCTTCGGTAACAGCTCCATTTCCCTGATGTTTGGACCTGTCAACCAGAGACATATCAGCTTGGGCTTCCACTCAATTCGATTGACCGTGTAAACCGACAGCATCCATCTTCGTTCGGGCTAAATTCGTATTCAATATTAACTTAGATCACAATGTTGAACGACTTCAGTAGCGAAACGGTTAAATGATTTTTCCAAAAAGTTTTTGACTTGAACCGTTTAACCGCTTCAATGTTGAATTGCAGATAAAGTTCATACATCACTCGCAAGTTCTTTCTCATCATCTTCAGTCCAGATTAAGAATCTGTAGAAGTTACTGAGATCCTTCGTCCACCAAGGTTCATCGTAGTACAAGTAAATCTTGCCGACGTGTCCCATCCCTATGTGCTGAAAGATAAAATAAATATTACCTTTCAACCATTAAGGTCTCGCAGAAGTACTTATTTTACTTCGATTGCATTGATTTTGCTGGGCGGCAGGTGCGGCACGAACAAGTTCTTATGATTCGCCTTCAGGACTCCCAATGACGGTGTGAATATCACATAATCTGCCATATACACGTCTCCATCGGATGTTTTCACTTTCACCGGACCATCACCTTTGTATTCAATCCTCGAAACCTTTTTATTAAACAAGGTACTGTTGACGATTGGCAGTTCCTCTTCGGGATCCGGATACTTTCTCTAGAATAATTCAAAGGAATGACTCAGTGGTTACTTCCTTCCAATTGTTCAAGACAAACCATCAGGAGATCCAAGATAATTCCGTATGTCCCTGTTTTCCAATTCAGCTGCTGATCTCCATCCGAAAAGTAATCGCCATCAGCCTTTGCTGATGCTTGGTACAAATCCTCAGCGCCATTTTCCGCCATGTGCGCCCGGTGTACCATCTTGACTAAAGGTATCTTGAGATCCTCGGGGATGTCTTCGTGCTTGTTGAAATAATCATTTATCCTGTGGTTAAAGGTAGTGGTTAAACAGATAGAGACTGCGAGCGTCAAACCGAGGGCTACTTATGAAATGATTTTACTTCCTGTCGAAGTATTCACCGACAGATCCTGTCCTCAAATTTTCAACACCTGGCCATTCTGCCGTGAGATTCATTGCAAAAGTAATGAGACTTCTGCCGGTCTTGTCGTTCATCTTTTCACCGGTCGATAGAAAAAACTTGATAGAATTCCTTCGCATCAATATAGCGGCCTCTTTTTCGGATCCGACTGTCCGCGCGAGTGCCTTGAACGCCGTTTTGAAGAAAATTGATCCATCATTGGGACCGAGACAGTGTGAGAGGAGATGAAAAGGCCACGCCATTTCGTAGACAACATTTTTCCCCTCTCCGTGAACCCACTGCGCTCCCAAATCCACATCGTACTCTTCTGCAAAATCATTAATCCTCAGAAAGATTAGATTTCTCTGAAAATGTCAAGTGCTGAGTTACCCATTTCCACACTGTAAACTCTTCCCCCAATCCTGTCCTCAGCTTCCAGAATCGTGACGTTGTCGATTCCATTTCGAAATAGTTTTGCAGCTGCAGCGATTCCTGAAGCACCCGCACCGATTATAATCACCCTAGGAGTTTCATCACTCGCTAGAATGCTCGTTGCACACAGAAGAATCAGGATATTCCTCATCCTCAGGGTAAATTTTCACAGCCAGTATCGATATTGTCACCGCGAATTCCAATGATTTTATGAAGCACTTCATGATCGACACGACCGCCGAGTCGCGGACTCTCTAATCATGATTAAAATGTTCAATGAAAGCCAAAGGTTGAAAATAGCGATAAAACTTTTGTCAGACAGAGAAGAAATAGGAGATTCCTTTTTGCTGACAAGGGAACTGACAATCTTCAAGATGCCGCGACTCCAGAAAAACTTGCGCGGATTATCACTGGGATTTTTGGTGATAAGAATTTCGCTGTTCACAGGGAAAGCGTAAGTATTTTATTTTCACTTTCGGGAATTCGTTTTAGATCTGATTTTATTCAGATGCATTCGTCAGTGGGAGATATCACGATTTATCAAGGAAACCGTGAAGTCGCATCCTTCGCATAATCATTGAGATATTCAATGAGTGTCAAATGTCAAACGAATTATTTCGTAATTGAATGGTCTTATCGCCAAACAAGTGTTTGAATGTAGTAATCGATTTGTGAAACTAAAAAATCCCCGATATTTCCGAATTGAATATATGATAGCCATGGAGATGACATTGCGATTAAAGAATTGTTTGTGCGTTGATGATTATAATTTTCTTCAACCATTAATTGTTATAATTGTTGTTTATTTATTCGGGAGAGATATCGGATTCTCTTAATTTCTGTAATGGCAATTAATTGAAATTCGTATTGCTGAAAGTAAAAGCCAGGCATTCGGGGGAAACGCCCGTCAAAATACGACAGGACGTTAAACTGTCAGGGCTCTCGAATACATTTGCGTCATACTGTACGGGCTGTGACAACAAGGAAGAGATTTCGAGGTGTCAGAACGATGACAACGAGTAATGTTTAACCCGAGTAAAAAGCCCAGTTATACGGAATTGTTCATTGCTGGAAAAGCCCTAGGTCGTAGCCATTTCACTCTCGTAACAATTTCACCTCCTGTTTTACGATTTTTTTTTTACGACCGCTAGTTGAAAGCAATCGAAAAAAAATAATATTGGAATTAGTAAACTGACACTGGGCGCGGTAGACGTGATAAATCCTTTCGAAAGGGGATAATGCAATCAACAAATTGTTTTTGAATGAAAAAAGTACATTGGGAAATAGAATAAAGACTCACCAGTGCTTTTCTTCTTGCGCTTTTTACGCAGCTCCTTTTTGTCCTGCGCCAATCCCAATTCCAAAAGCTTCTCCTTTATTTTAGCCTTTGGTCGTTTTATCCTCAAGCCACTGTGAATTAGATCGACTGGATCTGGATGCAATTAAAAAAATTCATTGTGTCATTTTCTCATTTCGGTTTTGCAGTGAAAATTCGAAAATGGGAATCCTCGATTTACGATACGATTTTCACGCTCTTTACTTATTTCAATCTCATTGACGATTTAATTGGAAAAAAGGGGGACACGTACTGAAAACGGAACGAAAATACTGAATTACATATTTTCTCCTCCCTTTCATTGGTGTTTATAGGATTAACAGGAAAAAATCTGCTCGGGGAATAATTTATCCGCTGTAATGAGACTTGTTTTAGTTTTAATAGAAATTTCCATTTGTTCGAGTTGTACTGATAATTATTTTTAATTGAGTTTAAAAATGGATCTGCCCAGTGGTGATGTAATGAGAAATAATTTGACCGACAGCCTCTCCTAATTCAATCAACAATTCAGACAGCGAACACCAGTGGATTATTTGTTAAATGGAAATTGATGTTTCAGCTGGATACGCATATATTATGTACTCCCAATTTACATTAAATAATTGACGATTCTTTAATTGGAAATGGACTTGAATTCGTCAAAGGGAGAAGCACACATTCGCATTAATGAGGTAATTATAAATAATTTGCAATGAAGACGAATTCATCGAATTGAACTTCGATTACGAATAATTATCATTTATTCATTGAATTGGAGTTTATTTTTTAAAATCATTGAAAATGGGATTGTTCTTCTCAGTATGGTGTATGCATTAATTAAAAAATTGAAAAATAAATGGATAAATTATTGTTATTCCATTGTTTTATTTTTCATTGCCGTTCGAAATAGTTCCACGCACGTGAAGAGAATTTTCTCACGTGTTTTTGATCTTCAAGATAGCAATTCGGTGAGAATTGTCGAAAGGTCAAATACGTGGTGTAATTTGAGAGACTGTTACTCACTCCCAATACACTGATGCATTCGGCTCAAATATATTTTCTGAGTGGATTCTATTTTCACAGATAGAGAGGTGAAATTGAAATACTCTGAGAGAACGATTGATAGGATAACATCGCATACATTTTTTATCAATTTGTGGTGTGTTTCAGGCAGGATTTCGGAGGTGTTCGGGCTAGGGAGTTACAAACAACTGATAAAGTTATTAAAATTAATTACCATCATCATCCTTCACTTGCTCCCACGTTTCCGTCAGTTGTGCAATCTCGTCCTCGCCCCACTCTTTAGGAATCCTTTTCTGTACTTCACTTCTTATTGTCTACAACAAAAAAGAACCCAAGAAAAATTTCATTACCCGCTTTTCTCCCCTACAAACTTAAGTCCCACATAATGAACTCGGAATTTACGTTTCATATGGAAAGAAAAAGCCGTAAAGAAACAACTAAAGCAGTAGAAATGACGGTAAGGCGTAAACTGGGAATAAATATGAACTCAGGGGTTGTATATTTTCCAAAGTTTTTCTCCACTCCTGGATCCAGGTAGAGGTCATTTGTCCCCATTATTTCGGAGGGTAGAAGCATATCGCGGGGAAAAAAGGTGGAAAACTTCTCGCACCAGCGGAAAATGCAATTGGAAACGGAGGAAACGAAGTAATTCCGGACGAAAATTTTGGTAACACCATTAAATATTGATGGAGAAAATATTACCGTATAATATTATTATGTATTATATTTTATTATATATTATATTTTGACATTTGACATTTAATCCCATGACATTTTGTCCAGTAATTTTTTTTTTCAGCGATATTTTCGCATAATATATTTTCATTGTAATCGGCTTCCGGATGGATGTAGCGATATTTTATTATTCCATTTATTGCTGACTGTTCATATTATTATATTAATGTTAATATAAATTATTGGGCTTCAATTCCTCGAGGATTTACATTTCACTCTTTATTTTCGTTAACCATCTCCTTTTTTTCAGTCTGGAATATGTTCAACGTTCGGAAATTTAGTTCTCCCCTGAGTATTCCGGTTTTTTTCACTCCTTTGACGTTTTATTTTCAGCACTAAATCATTGATCTTGTTTCTTTGAGGGCGTTGAAAGTACAAGAAAACCAGGATGAGAAAAACCGCGTGTGGTGTAGCGCCAGAATCCGATCGTTGGGGTTAAAACAGGGGATGCGAAGTGGATAGATAAAAAAAAAGGGGAATGTAAAAAATATCTGGCAATGAAAACTGTTTTCAGATATCGATGTTTGAACTCAACGAATAATACAGGATATTCTCACATTCAACCCCTCATTCGGTGGAGTTATTGTCTGGTGGGAGTGATAATTCATGCTTATTCCGGAAAATATTAAAACAAAGCGGAGAGAAAAAAAGTTGGAATTGTTGTAGCCGACGGGGACTCGGAAAAATGCACAGAGTTTACTGGATTTTTTGTTTTCTCCTCTTTTTCGTCTTTTATTGGACGTTTACTTGGAAAAACTTCTAATTACTACCAGCGCTGGCTCGGATAATTAGTCGGTGGATTTTTAATTGACGGTTGGAGGGATTTACCTTCGAGTTTACGATCAGGTAGAGTTCTTTCAATTTCTTTATCACTCCTCGTCTTGTGCGATTGTCGCTGATGAGGTTCTCCAGGATCCAATCGATCAAATCTGGAAATAATCAGGAGGAGACGTCTAATTATTTGCAGCTTTAAGGTTTATGAGGAGAATAATATTGAGGCTTTAGGGGCTAATGACTACCAGGAAATTGCGATTCAATTCAATTCAGAGAGAAATTACCATGAAATCCAGATTTACATAAAAACGTTCAACAGATTTGTCAATTATTTTTTGTACTCTACTTAATTAATTAAATTCAATGAAATTCCTATTTTTTTTTTATATTTAAAACCCTGATTCTCTTAAAATATTTTACTGCGTCAATAATCTCTGTGAAATGATTAATGATTATTTATTGCAAAGACCATGCGGGTGAAATAAATATTCAATACTTCTGTCGATGTGCTAATATTTCAAATTAATCAATTAACGGAGTAATTGGTCTCTTGTTTTACACGAATTCTGGTTCCTCCGCGAATTTTCTTTCTCACCGACTTGTTCCAGCAACCCGGGACACGCAATTACCTCAGTATTTTCATGTAATGGGCTCCTCGATGTAAAAATAATTGGTGAAAGAATTTTCTTTATTACCTTGAGGGTACTTATTAGTTTGATGCTCCATGAACAAAGTGCGTAATTCATCCTCTTCTACTTCTGTCCATACGGCGCGGGAAACTTTTTTGTTCTCGACTTCAACGTCATATCCGTCCAACATCTCAGTTGCTTCGCGAGTGTTCTTCCAGAAGAGCAGCTCCATGTACGACTTCCGGTTTTTTTCAGCCGTCTCAGCGAAACGACGAATTATGAAGATGGCAAACTTCTGCAACTCCTGGAACATTTCACCAATTCGACTTTATTTTTGCCTTTTTCTTTTATTTTTATCTCCACGGTGGGATGATGTTAATAAATACAGCTGTTTTGGTAGAATAGTCAAAAAATTTCGAGTTAAAGTGGACAAGAAAACTGCCACTGTCAAACTTCGCAAGTTGGTTTGAGTATAAATTGTGGGGTACGTTGAGAAAAAATGGAGCTTGAGTTTTTGTGGGACTGATCAAATATTTTTCACTGCCTTTTTTTTTGTGGCTCGCACCTTGTGCTCTCCATGTTTGGATTCCAGAATTCTCTGAAAAATCCTGAAGATGGACGCTTGGAAGATCATAGCCGGTACTTTACAATCCCATGATATTCTGTGCATCATTTTCACGATGTAATGATTCACCTCGTTGGAATTCTCCTCAAAATGGCGCAGAAGTACAGCGAGGGCTCTCACGATTTTCACGTTAGCGAACCTAAAATCCACACCAGGAGAAATTAATTCCATTCTCTCACAACCCTGGGGGAGGAGTTGCACGGATTATTGAATGAATATACCTTCGCAAAAACTCATCAAAATTGAAATTCGTTTCCTCGTACTGCCCTTCCGCCTCAGCCTCCTCTTCCTCATCAAATTCGTCATCGTTCTCATCTAAAAATTAATGAATTCCGGGATTAAAAATCTCATTGAGAATTGATACCAGAGGGATGTGATGAACGGAAGAACGAAAATTGTTTCTTCGAGGGGAATAATACCTCCATTTCCCCAGAAGACATTTATTCTCGGTACAGTAAGTCCTCCCAAACGAATAATTGATCCCCACCTCAAATCATTTAATTGAATAACAAAATGGGAAAACGATTGGTACACGAAGGGACAAATAAATCTCCAAGAATTCACCAGCGAATAAAACTTGAAACAATTCCGTTGCAAGTCCTCAGCTTTCCGCAAATATCTCCAAATAAACGCATGATATCAAAATTTGTATAGAAACATTTTTTGTAGTTCTCGATCCCCCCCACAAAAAAGGTCATGACAAAAATCTCGATATTAGCCTTCAGTCGCGAGAAATCGATCGAAAACGGAGTGACATCAAAGTATACTCAATCCTAAAATCATAATTCTGAGACTACTGACCATTTTCATTATTCAGGAAGCTCTCAACATTCTCCTCTGTCTCCTGCAGCTTCTCCTCAGTCTCGTCAACCACTGAAACACAAAATAAAAAAATCTATATATGTAAATTCAACGAACAGAGGACTAGTTCAGAACCACACGCTCTCAAGCTTTGATGATAATTTTCGATCGCAAGTTGGGAAATTCACAAGCCGGAAATTACACGAAACTCGCTTGATGTTTAGTGGCTGAGTAAAACTCTCATGGATGTGAAGCAATAGTTGAAAACTTGTACGGCAATAGAAGCCCTAGTGTACACACACATCCGAACAAAACCTGTAACAAGTTCGACGTGAGAGCTGTTACGATCCCAGAAATACTGATTCCAGTTAAATGACAGATAAACTGAGAGAGCGTTAAATGAAGGCGGAAGTGAGAAACAGACACAATCCACCCGATAATAATAACAAAAAAAAAAAACGGATCTGGGTATGTGTGAGAACCGGCGCCGGGTTTCAGCGTTTGTTTTCAAGATAAAAATAAAAAAAAAAAACGAATGGTGAGGACAGCGAATGGAGACGGGGATTTATTTGAAAGCACGACAGTTTCGACACAACTGCACATCCGGTGAGACTACAATTGTTAATGGATTGACCTGGAGACGAGAATGGATAAATCCAATTGACGACTGAACGGGAAAAAATATACTTGGTGCTAGGATATTTTATGCTTCAACTACTTTCTTCCACAACTGACGGATTAAACCTGGAACTAATAATTCAGGAAGTACTGATGATAATTATGACGGCAATAGGTAAATATCCCCAGAATTTAAAAACACTCAATCCGCAGAAGGGGCTCTGAACGAAGGGAAATTCCAGTTGGCTCGGGTAACATCTGATAATTATGATTATTCCCTCTCGAATCTATCCCTGGAGGGTCTCGGTGCGTTAGATGAAATTAGATTCCCCAGGCTTAATGTGGGCAAGTGAGAGGAAGCATGGAGTTGCTGGCATAAATCCTCAGTTGGTGAATTTAATGGTAACGAGGCGCATGGAGTACTAGATGACGATGGAATCCACTTGAAGTCATAGATCGGAGATGCATTGTATTATTGAGTATCTTTGGTGGAATGCACTCCCGGATAATTGAGGGGATCATGTACCGCATCAGTCCTGACAATATGGTAATTCATTTATAATTTCTCGATTTTACTTTTATTCAATTTTTTACAGAATCTCTCCTCCAAAGTTGATAAGTGGTTCACATATTTTTTTTATGCTGTTCTATCAATTTTATCACGAGATTTGCTCTGAGAAAGCAAGAAGTAACTTCACGGGCTTCCGAAGGGTGAAAGGGGAAATAAAGGGCCAGAGAAAGTCAAGATAATCGGAGCTTTCCATACAGAAGCCTCAGTCGATCGTTCCCCTTGGGTTAAGGCCGGGATCAAGTGAAAATATCCCGTGTACGGTGTCAATTATTCTTCGTAATGACTGTCAGTATCACGTGACGTACAGTTAGAGTCTCCCCTTCAATCTTTTCCCCTCATCTCTTGCTGCTGATGTTCCCAAGAAACCTTCAAAGCCTGCCGAAATCAACTGTCATCTAACCCGCGGTCTCCTTAATGAATTAATTAATGCGTGGAGAGATTCAATATTAATTGGTCTTTTAATCTCTTCAGTCGATGAAATCCATTTTCTCCGGAGTCGACTTTCGTTTTTAAAAACTCCCGCCCAGTCCCCGGGGATCCTGTGGGTGCAGCGCCACTCCGGGGATTCCCCTCGCCCTGTCTTTCCGTTCAGTTCCGCCATTTTTCATTACAATTACAATTAAATCTAAAAATCAACTACTCGTTCAAATTGATTTTAAAATCATTTAGACAGGCAACAAATTTCAATGGAAATTAAAATCGATAAAAAATTGGAAATAAATTTTGAAAAATCCACCTACCATTGATCAAATCAAGTTTTGCGTGAATGAAGTGAATAATAATTTTTCAGCTGACCTTTCAAGTTGATGGAATAGTCCTTTGTCTGACTCGGCTTTAGTCATTAGACTCCCGTCGAATCGAGGGGAGGGGAAATCCCTCGCGTGCAGCGCCACACGGGGGATTCCCCCTCATCCCTCGTATTCCCATTTAGTTCACCCATTCTCCGTTGAAAATCGACATTACACAATTCTATCGCTCCAAAACTATTGGCCACACGCACCCCCGTAATTACACTCCAAGCAAATTAGAGGAGCATTCGTGGTCTACAATTTCAGGTCTAATATGTGAAAGGGACTTTCTCGTCATTCAGCTAGCTGACTTTAAGCCCCTGTGTGTCCAAAATAGTTGGGGAGTTTTGGTTGGCGCGTGTTACTTGGTTGTGTTCAAACCCTTCTGTACTTTGTACACACGCATAAACCTTATTACCATAATACTCTCGGCTACGTGTTAGGTGAGAAAACCCGAGGTACTCTCGCACGGATAACCCTTGAAACGCCTCCGGGTACGACGACATGGCAATCACGGGTGAAAACTGTGGTTTCCTCATTATATAACCCAAGTTTTCGGGACAAAGGAAATATCTGGGTTTATCAGGGTACCACGGACTCGGTGATTATTCGAGATTCTTTGGGGTTGGCCGGAGTTATTTAATGGACTGGGGTTATCAAGGGGATTTTCACAATGTTTTTTCTGGTTTTAGGAATATTTGGCATTGCTCCGAGCCAGGCCATTTTTTGGCTGAAGGATATTTATTGAGATTATCCCTTCGGATGGGGTTAATAACCGCGAGAGTTCAAGATATTGTCTGAATTTCAAATGAGGTTGTTACCAAATGTGGAAAGTGCATCACAGTGGAAGGAAATTAATGGCTGATCCTCTGGGGCGTTATTCGATGATATTTCAATTCCATTGAGGCCTTTGAAAATTATGGAAATTAACCTGCAATGATAATTAGAATATTGTTTGATGTGTAATCTGGCTTGCGGCTGGTACACGAGGAAAGAGTGAGACACGCCGATGATTAGAAAAGGCCAGTCCTGCAATTCTCCAGGATAATACCTTTTTGCAAATTATCTTCATGCGACGATTGGACGCTATCGCTCAAAAGATATTGTTTAATCACCATTATTTATGGCGCTATGGTTTACTCGATGGGTTGAGAAAACGATAACAGTCTCAGGGCACATCAACTCTCGAAATATCACTAAATCATCGATTCTCCCCTCAATGAGCTCCGGGAATTTATCTTTATTGTTGTGTCCCGAAAATTCGTGGCTCTGCGTGTGGCTTTAAACATTTTCCCTGATAAAAGGAGGAGCAGGTGGTGTGGGTGGAGTTTGGAGAGCTCAGGGCTTCTGTGTACAAACTTCGTTTATCGACTGGTAATAAATTATTCGTGAACCCAACCGCTGGAGCAATTTTCCTCGGTGAAAAGGACTTTTTTTGGCGGTTGCTTTGGGCATTCACCGGTGTACGATCTCCAGAATGGTTCAACCGTTTCAAGAGGTTTAGGTTTGGACCAGAGGAAAAGGTGTTTATGGTGGTTTGATGCTAACGTCGATCCTCCAGTCTTTCGGTCCTCCTTTTTTTTTCTCTCTCTCTTTTTGGATTTTTTGGGGTAAACGGACGATTTCGTATTCAGCAGTCGTCATCGTCCGGCGGTGCTATTACGTTGGTAACTACTTATTCAAACCGAATCGCTACTACAGCCCCATCGCCCTCCTTTTCTCTGGGGGTTGTTGACAACGCAGGCACGTCTCAACAGATCCTACGAGCTTGACGTTTTTTTTTTACGTATGCTTTTTTCTTTTTTCTTGAAAAGGGTCCTCTTCACTCCAGATCTACTTTCTTATCCGGAGAGCGCACTTTGTTCTCTATTCGTAATGACGTTGCACTGGCACACTGACCTCCAGGAATTCCAGGATCTGGAGGAATTGACGGGGATTTTGGAGACTATTGAGGAATTGGAGGAATTTTTCCGAGTGTCAATCGCCGGGATTTATCCATTTCTGTGGTCATCTCTTGGTTTATATTTTTTATGGAGTGGAATTTTCAGGGAAAAAATTGAAATCTTTATCAAAGAAGTGATATGACATTTTTGTAGCGTTCGGAGAATTTGACACGCGTAATCAATTTTTTAATTATCACCAAAATGAGGGCAAATTACAATTGAAATTTGGGGTGTGGAAAATTTCGTCGATTCGTGAGAATTTTGAAAATTCGAAGGAACACAGCTAGGGGAATTTCGCTGGTCTTATTATGCCACGAACAATGTTGACGAATTATTTAAATTTATTGAGGAAATTGAGAACTTGCAGGAGTTCAATTCGATTTAGATAACATTGTTGGAGAATTTTTTATTCTGCCCTAGGAAGAAAAAAGTTGAGGGGTTTTACGGCTCGTTTAATACACCAGTTAGTGAATATATTGAATTGCTTTTTAAATGAAAAATGCATCATTAATTTATAAAAATGAGAATATAAAAGAGATGAAACCAGGACACATTCTCGTTACCAGTGGAATCGAATCATATTATATACAAAATTAAAAACGCATTGAATTGAATCAATTGCAGGATATTGAGAGAATAAATGATTTCACTTGAGTGTTATTTACAAATAAATTAAATTTTATTGATTGGCCTCAATGAATTGTTTATACTTTCATTATAGAATACGCATACAATATATTTAATAACAGATTTTATTTATCGAATATATTTTTTTTGGCAACTTCGATGATTTTTCAAATTCATTTCATCACGCAATTTCCAAGATAGAAACTAGATTGCAACCGCTGTATCGCTTTTTAATCTTATCGTTCATCAACGTCTCCTCCATTCTCGACCTTTTCCCCTCCACCTCGGATGAAAGTCTCGAAAAGTTGGTCGAATGTACACTATTACATCCCCTACCCATGCCTTTGTCCCCAAGGAAGTTGAAAATAATAAACCTGAGGGTTCTTAGAAAAATAAGAAAGCTGAAAAGAATGAGTGGAAAAAGGAAAAGAAATATCCGTGGATTCAGATTTCACGTCAGACGCAGGGACCGAGAGGAAGATTAAAAGAATCTCGACAATGAAAAAACCCTGGGAAATTGGACTT